ACTTGGACTTCATCAAAACTTACAACTTTGTGCTTTAAAGGACACTTTTCCAGAAAGTGAAAAGACCCCAGAGAATGGGAGAAAATATCTGTTAATCTTGAGTATATACAGAAGTCTTAGAACTCAACAACACAAAAACCCCATTTAAAAACAGTAAAGAACCCAAGTAGACGTTTCTCCAAAGAAATAAATGGCCAGTATCATAGGAAAAAATGCTTAACATCACTAGTCATTAGGAAAATGCAAATCAGAATTCATGATGCGATATTTCATACATACTAGCATGTCTATAATCAAGAAGGTGCACAATTACAAGTATTGGTGAGGAAGAAGAGAAATTGAAACCCTCATAGTGTTGATACGATGTAAAATGCTTATCTGTTGTGTAAAAGTTTGGCAGTTCCTCAAAAGGTAGAAAATAGTGTCACCTAGCAATTCCACTCCCAGATGATGCATATATCTGAGAGAAATCAAACATATGTCCACACAAGAACTTGTACACAGTTGTTCATACTAGCATTACTATAGCCAAAAGGAGGAAACGGCCCAAACAGCCATCAGTTGATGAATGGATAAACAAAATGTGGTATATCCAAATAATCAGATATTTGGCAATAAGGAATGAAGTACAATTACATGCTACATGTGGATAGGCCTTGAAAACAAAGTGAAAGAAGTCAGTCACAGGATTTCATTTACATGAAAGATCTATAATTAGCAAATCAATAGGTTAGGGAACACTGGGCAGGGGTGGGGAGGGAGGAGGGAATGGAGAGTGAGTGCTATTGGGCATAGGGTTTCTGTTGGGCATGATGAAAGTGTTTTCCATTAGATAATGGTGATGGTTGAACAGCTTTGTGAATATACTAAAAAGTACTTAAGTGTATGTACACTTTAAAATGATGAATTTTATGATATATGAGATTACAAACTTTGTTTTTGCTGTACGCCGGCCTCTCACTGTTGTGGCCTCTCCCGTTGCGGAGCACAGGCTCCGGACGCGCAGGCTCAGCGGCCATGGCTCCCGGGCCCAGCCGCTCCGCGGCACGTGGGATCCTCCCGGATCGGTGCACGAACCCGTGTCCCCTACATCGGCAGGCGGACTCTCAACCACTGCACCACCAGGGAAGCCCGAATTTTATGATATATGACTATCTCAATTTTCAGTTTTCTTAAGCCTCAAATTTGTTCAAAGTTCTCTAAAAAGTAACATAAAATGTTTATTTATTAAATACAAATTAAGATCTAGCTATCCCCTTATTATAGGGAAAGTATTCTTCCCCCCAATACTTTGTTTTGCTACCAGCTGCTCATTTGTTTTTTAAATCCCATCACCCTATCAAATAGCCCTAGCTGGTGCGAGTTTGGGTGGGTAGCAGGAGGAATCTTCAGGAGCTTTAGATTGATAACATTTTGTAAATTGAGTTTACTCTTCTCTTAGTTTCCCACTAAAATAAACCTAACACACATTAACCACAACTAGTAACCTTGGAGCTCACTTACTGGGTGATATTTTCAAAGATGTAATGAATGAATGGGGTTAACACGTGGTCCAGGGGTAGAGTTGGTAAAATGAAAAATTGCACACACTGGAGTCACTATAGATAGCTTGAAATGAGGAGAATCATGCAATTAGCCACTAACAAAACATTACCAGTTGTATTATACCTATGTCTATGTCAGCATATATACTGAGAACTATATATCTGAGATTGGAAAGGAACATTTTAAGTAACTTCCTCATACACTTCCAAAAGTATGTTCTAATTAAGCTCTGATTAATGCTTTCGGTGTGGAAGCTGATTAACTGAATGAGTTTATTCTACAGACCAAGGACTCTTAATTCTGGGTCCAGGAGTCCTATGAAACTGCAGTCTTTTAGTATATTTTTCATAGCTTTCATCTGAATCTCAAAGGAGTTGTCAAAGTGCTTAAGAACCACTGCTGTTGACCATTAAAGTGAGGACTGGAGAGAGATGGGCTAACATTTATTAAGCACTTGAAAAGTATCTCTGATAAGCACTGTGCTACATTTATCTACATTCTCACATATCCTCCCAGTCACACTGTGAAATAAGTGTTTCTACTTTACAAATGGGGCTACAGTTTGTAAGACAAGTGACACTCTAACAGCCACAACTTCCAATGGAGAGAGTTGGTTCTAAATTCTTTAGTGTTTTCAGAAAAGAAAAAACAGAAGAGAAATAAGTTTTTTAAAAAAAGAAAAATTCTTCAGTGTTTAAACAAAAGCTACAAATTCATAATAAAAATTTATTATAAACCTATATGAAAATAATTTGATAACTCAAAATCACCTTCTCCTAGACATAATTACTTTTAAGAGTTGAACGCATTATTTCTACGTTTTTTTTTTTTTTTTTTTCTCGGGCGCATCGTGCGGCTTGTGGGATGTTAGTTCCCCAACCAGTGATTGAACCCGAGCCCTTGGCAACGAAAGCACGGAGTCCTAACCACTGGACTGCCAGGAAATTCTCTTCGTATCTTTTTTCTATACATATAATACTTTTTTGTTGTTTGTTTTTGTTTTTTTGCGGTACGCGGGCCTCTCACTGTTGTGGCCTCTCCCGTTGCGGAGCACAGGCTCCGGACGCGCAGGCTCAGCGGCCGTGGCTCACGGGCCAAGCCGCTCCGCGGCATGTGGGATCCTCCGGGACCGGGGCACGAACCTGTGTCCCCTGCGCCGGCAGGCGGACTCCCAACCACTGCGCCACCAGGGAAGCCCTATACATATAATACTTTAATGGTTATATCATTGTACAAATATACCAAAATCAACCAATTCTCCAGGAAGTTTTTAGTTACTGAAAGAAATGTTTTTAAAACCTTGATGGCAACAGTTTTTGAAGGGGGCTAGAAATAAGTTAGCCTATTTAGAAAACTGGGGAAAAGGTCCAGCTTTGTGTAAGAGCATGGACTAGTACTGATTGGCAGTGAAATGTTTTCATGCCATTAATTTGTTAACATGTAATAAGATATGAGGGATAGGAAGTGATTTAGGGAAAATGTGAAGATTCTGGATGGCCCTGAATAGTATGTACATTTGAACTCTGTTCTATATATAGTCAGTGGTAAATACTGTAACACAAACTTCCACTACCTATGACAAAATCATTATTAAGGTTTCTCCCTGAATCAGATTAGAATTATAGTATCCTATCCACCACCACCATTCAATGTTTACAACCACTCAGTAGGTCCTGGGGATAAAAAGATGTCCTGTAACTGCAAACTACGATTACAGGGTGATTTTTAACTTCCTTTTGAGATTCTGTATTACCGTGTTTTAACAGACTAGAGATTCAGGACTTAGTAATAAATGACTACATTGCATAAAAGTATTTTGATTCTTTTAATAATATTTCTGACTATAAAATACAGATATAACATCTAGAAGGTACAGAAAGTATAAATTAAAACACCTCGTTTGTCATCTGAACTCTCTGTGAAAAAGGGAAATCTATCCATTGGGTACAAGACTTGAATGAGCCAATTCCTCCAGTTTCAAGCAACCTAATCCAATTTTATGTGCCACATCTTTTATTCTTATAAGGGCATAAAATATAAAAACTACTTTAAACTTCTAAAGACTATGTATTCAAACGACACTCAACGTCCTATTTTCCTTCCAATGGCATTTGGGCACCAATTACGCAGCTATACCTTGGTTAGGGTCTGCAGCCTGCCCCTCACTCGCTACCTAAAAGAAGGTCTCGTTAAAAATCTCAAACTGGACTCGAATGTAAATCAAAACACTTTAATTATCCTCACTTACGCCATTCCATAATCACCTGAAATGCAAAGACACTAGATCAAACATCATCCAGCTCTGTCCAGCTTTTGTAAGCAGGACACAAATCTCCAGTTACAACGGGACCATCCTTCTCAATCTCTTAGTAACTCAAATCTACATTTGGAACACCAGATTTAACAAATCTTGAGTCTACACACTTTACCTCATCTTTATTCAGCCTGGTTGCCAAAGCATATGAATACATACTGAATACTCCTGAAATGACTAGTATTTCCAATGGCTCAGAAAAATTCTGGGTTGAGAGCTACAAGAAACACTACCTAAACTTCACAACTAATTTGTATCCATTCTTAATACTGGGGAGACCGAGTCAATTATTTCCTCAGCCTTTTGACTTTCCTTTAATTTGCGACACACACAAAAGGGAAAGTAAAAAAGTTAGCGACACCATTACAGACGACTTCAAAATTTGAACCTAAGGAACATGAAAGCGCAAAAGCAACCGCAGTGTCTCCCAGCAGAGTCCAAGACCACCACCCCGCTGTCGAGCTACGCCGGAGCTTCAGCTGAGGCAGGAGGCTCATCCTCCTACCAATGATGATGCCCCAGCGACTGGAAAAGCAAAGGGAGACTTGGCAGCCAGTGACAGGCATACAGCAGCTCTCGGAAAAGCAGAGCCTCCGCCCAAGACCAAAGGCCTCAGCTGGCACCGAGAGCCCCCAGGGAGCGGTGAGGCGTCCCATCCTGTCCTACCCCACCCTACCACTTCCCTCCCAACGTGACGACACTCGGCAATTGCTAGGCAAAGCCCACCCGGTCTCCAGAACGCGCTCCAGCAAGCCCACCGGGAGCGCCAAGGCCACCTCCTAGCCCCTGTGGGGAAAATGGCGCCTGTGAACCCTTCTCCCTCCCGGCTAGTCACAAGGACCAGCCTCCCTCCCTCGCTACAAAATGGCGCCTCCTGCTGGGGCCACAGACTCTGCATAATTCACTTGTCAGCGAGGCGGTGTCGCGCTGGGACGAGCGGTTCTGCCAACCAGTCAGAAGCAGAAAACTTTGTTCCGCACTTTGGGTAAGCCACTCAGGCGCTGGCTGTAAGGCCAGGCGAGGCTGACGTCAGGAAAAGGGGCGTGGATAAGGCGGTCTCCTTTCGCGTCGCCTAAATTTGAGCCAATGGCAAGCAGGAAGCGTCCAGTGAGTGACGTAATGAAAGCCCAATGGAGGCTGGGGGCGGGCTTCAGACCCACTATGCTGGTTGCGGGGCTGAGGGGCCGGGCGGCTGTTTCCTGTCCTGGTGCATGGTGGTCGGACGAAGGAATTGTTGGAAAATTTTCTCGGAGGTTCGTATATAAATGTGTTTTTACCCAGTGTGCATTATTCTCCGCCTGGCCGCCGCCCTCAGCGTGGCGGCGCGGGCCCGGTAGGGCCCGGGCTCGGACTCTGGCTCCTCAGCCTCCGCCGCAGGCCTTGCAGATCCTACGGCCGGCCGCGGTAGAGACGCCTGGGCAGAAGCGGAGTTTATTAATAACCCGCGGCCGCCACTCGGGCGGCGGAGCTTTTCTCACTGAGGACGCACCCCCCCCCCGCCCTTGTCTCTGCGCACTGCGCCCCGCCTGTTCCCCTCAGGGGACTGCCGAGGGGAGGGAGTGAAGGAGGGGAGGGTGGAGCCCTTGGGAGCCCGGCGGCGCTTCTCGGCTTGACCTCCGCGCGGAGCGAGTCCCCTGGCGCCGCCGAGGCGAAGCTCCTCCGGCTGAGACGCTGGACCCCGGTCGGCACCAGGCCCTAGCTGGGGCGCCGGCGGCAGAACTGGCTGAGGGCCCGGTCGGCATCCCGCCTGTAGATCGCACCCAGAATTTCCTCCCACTCTGATCGTGCACAGATTTCTTGTTTCCCTCACTAAAAAAAAAAAAAAAAAAAAATTTTATGGTCATTGAGGCCTAACAGCGAATATTAGAAATTGTCATTTTTATCATTCTCCTTTTTTCTCGGTTTTGGCCAAAGAGTATACGAATGCTTTGGTTGCTTTGTAACATTTTATTGTGGAACGTAAATCAATTTTTCTTCTCTCCACTTTTGCTTTTTTTAACATTTAAGTTTACGCATTAAGGAAGTTAAGTAAAGAGTAGATAAGAATACAATTGCTAAACTGATTATTTGTTTAAGATCAGTTTAAGCCTTTGGAAGTGTCTAATCAGCTGGTATAACCTAGTGGGGATGTGAAAAATTGTAGGTTCGAAGTTGTGGTCGGCTTTGTCCCGAACCTTACTAGAAGATACTTGTGTTTTGCTGTAGTTGACAAAAATCTGTGCAGTATTTAATATATTCTCTTGCTAAGTGCTTAGTTTCAGTTCATTGTTAAGTGTTTAGTAAGAGAATAGGTAGTGAGATCATACAAAAGCTCAGGTAAGACAGGTAACTAATTTATCCAGGTGTATTTTGATTACTTTGGAAATTATTTAGTGTACAAATACTTGAGTGCCTATTTTTTCCATAGCTGTCTTTTATTTTTTAAAAATAATGGCTTTATTGATATAATTTATATACCTTTACAATTCACCCATTTAAAGTATTATAATAATTAGGTAGGTTTAATGTATTCACAGAGTTGTGCCACCATCACCAAAATTTTAAAACATGTTCATCACCCCCCAAGAAACTCTGTACCCACTTAAGTTACTCCCCATTTCCCCATAACACTCCTTCTTCCCCAACCACTAATCTACAGATTTGTCTATTACCAACATTTCATAAAAATGGAATCACACAGTATGTGGACTTCTGTGACTGGCTTCTTTCATTTAGCATGATATTTGCAAGGTTCATGCATGTTATAGCATATATGAGTAGTTCATTTCTTTTTATTGCCAAATATTTCGCTGTATGGACGTAACACCTTTTATTTATCCATTCATCTGTTGATGGACATTTAGGTTGCTTCCACTTTTTTGTCTATGATGCATAATGCTGCCATGAACAGTTACGGAACAAGTTTTTGTGTGGACATTTGTTTTTATTTCTCTTGTGTGTATATATATACCTAGGAGTAGAATTTCTTGGTCATTTGGTCATACGGTAACTCTGTGTTCAATCTTTTGAGGAACTGGCAAACTTTTCCAAAGTGGGTGTACCATTTTACATTCCTACCAGCAGTGTATGAGAGCTCCCATTCTCCATATCCTTGCCAGCACTTGTTGTTATCAGTCTTTTTGATGGTAGCCATCCTAGTGGGTGTGAAGTGGTATCTCTTGTGATTTTTTTTTTTTTTGCGGTACGCGGGCCTCTCACTGCTGTGGCCTCTCCCATTGCTGCTGAGCACAGGCTCCGGACGCGCAGGCTCAGTGGCCATGGCTCACAGGCCTAGCTGCTCCGCGGCATGTGGGATCCTCCCAGACCGGGGCACGAACCCGCGTCCCGTGCATCAGCAGGCGGACTCTCAACCACTGCACCACCAGGGAAGCCCTCTCTTGTGATTTTGATTTGCATTTTCCAATGGCTAATTGTGCTGAGCATTTTTTCATGTGCTTACTGGCCATTTGTATATTTTCTTTTTGGAAATGTCTATTTGGGTCTTTCCCCCATTTTAAAATTGGATTGTTTATCTGTTATTGAGTTCTAAGAGTTTCTTATATAAAGGTCCTTTATCAGATATATGATTTGCAAAATGTCCATTGCCCTTTGCTGCAGGTTGAGATATTGCTGTGAAGTAAGGATTCATCATATTCTTCATGGAAAGATGACCTAGCTGTTTTGGGGAATTGTGCCTCTACTATTACTTTAGCTGTTATTAAATATTTATAATGTAGGTACAGTTTATGATCATGGGAGGAGAAGTTTCTGAGTCCTGATGTTCTCATCATTACTTAATTTTGAAGTTTTTATCTAGTTTTTGTTTTTGGTTTTTAATCTGAGGTTTTACCCAGTTCTGAGTCTTTTTGCTCCTGGCTTTATTTCAGGACATAGTGATTTTTTTTTTTTTTTTTTTTTTGCGGTATGCGGGCCTCTCACTGTTGTGGCCTCTCCCGTTGCGGAGCACAGGCTCCAGACGCGCAGGCTCAGCGGCCATGGCTCACGGGCCTAGCCGCTCTGCGGCATGTGGTATCTTCCCGGACCGGGGCACGAACCCGTGTCCCTTGCACTGGCAGGCGGACTCTCAACCACTGCGCCACCAGGGAAGCCCAGGGCGTAGTGATTTTTTAAAGAGTTGGGTTGCTTGAGTCGTTGCTCTTTGCTTAATTTGCATTTTAAGGGATGGCTTTTGTGAGACAGTGTTTTTTGGTTTTTGTTGTTTTTTTTTTTTTTTTGCGTTATGTGGGCCTCTCACTGTCGTGGCCTCTCTCGTTGCGGAGCACAGGCTCCGGACATGCTGGCTCAGCGGCCATGGCTTATGGGCCTAGCTGCTCTGCGGCATGTGGGATCTTCCTGGACCAGGGCACGAACCCGTGTCCCCTGCATCGGCAGGTGGACTCTCAACCACTGCGCCACCAGGGAAGCCCTGTTTTTTGGTTTTTAATTTATTTATTTTTGGCTGCATTGGGTCTTTGTTGCTTCGCGCGGGCTTTCTCTAGTTGCAGCAAGTGGGGGCTACTCTTCATTGTGGTGCGTAGGCTTCTCAGTTTGGTGGCTTCTCTTGTTGCAGAGCATAGGCTCTAGGCGCGTGGGCTTCAGTAGTTGTGGTTCTTGGGCTCTAGAGTGAAGGCTCAGTAGTTGCAGCGCACGGCCTTAGTTGCTCCGCAGCATGTGGGATCTTCCCAGACCAGGGCTTGAACCCGTGTCCCCTGCATTGGCAGGCGGACTCCCAACCCTGCGCCACCAGGGAAGTCCCTGAGACGGTGTTTTAAACTTTACCGTACTGTCAAAATCAAAGTGATTTTGTTTCAAAGATGGATTTAGACTGGACAGTGACAAAGGCTGTTCCCTGTGTCTGGACTGCCTTCTCTACTCTTCCTACCCCTAGGAAATGTTTACTTATCTTTCTTATGCCCATATTCACATGTAATCATCTTTGCATACCTGAGGCAGAGTTAGGTGCTCCTTACTTTATTAATGCTTCTGTTTATAGTAACTTTTTTTTTAAGTAACTAGTTTTAAAACCATGAAAATAATACATGGTAAATTTCTTTTTAACTTATGGAATGTATACAGTAGAAATTAAAAGGCCCGTCCCCAGTCCACCCTCATCTCCTAGTCCCATTTCTGGGAGGTAATGCTGTAAAAAATTATGTGTGTGGATAGCAAGAGTTAAAGAAGAAAACCAGGAAACGAAAAGATTTGATTTATTAAGCTAGTGGGAATTAATCTTATTAACAAATTTTTCTTACAATATTGTATGCAATGAAAATTCTACTGTTGTACAAGACAAAATAAGATAGTTGGCAGTGTTATTGGAATGGAAGGATGAGAGACTGGAGTAAAGAAAGCAGTAAAGAAGTTATTGCAGTAGTTATTAATATGTGAGGAGTTGGAAAAGAAAGGTTTTGAAGGATAAAAATCATGGAGTTGAAGGGAATGCCCTGGTGGTCCAGTGGGTAAGACTCCACACTCTCATTGCTGAGGGTCTGGGTTCACTCCCTGGTCCGGGAACTAAGATCCCACAAGCTGGGCAGTGTAGCCAAAAAAAATTAAAAAGATGAAATGCTCTCTGTCATACCAAGTTCCCATATATATGGTTCCATTTAAAAAAAAAATCATGGAGTTGACAATTGCCCTGTTGTGAATTTAAGAATGAGGGTGGGCTTCTCTGGTGGCGCAGTGGTTGAGCGTCCGCCTGCTGATGCAGGGGACACGGGTTCGTGCCCTGGTCCGGGAAGATCCCACATGCCACGGAGAGGGTAGGCCTGTGAGCAATGGCCGCAGGCCTGCGTGTCTGGAGCCTGTGCTCCGCAACGGGAGAGGCCACAACAGTGAGAGGCCCGCGTACTGCAAAAAAAAGAATGAGGGTTTAGTCAAGGATGACTTTTGATCATTTTAATCTGTTGTCTGGATTTGGTGGAAATAGCCAAGTCCATATGGCAAATTGATTAGAGTGGAAAGATGAATTGGCAAACCTTAATGGTGTATATGGAATGTGTTGTGTTTAATTCAGACAGAAAACAAGATGTATTTTGATATAAAATGAATGACAGGGACTTCCCTGGTGGCACAGTGGTTAGGAATCCGCCTGCCAATGCAGGGGACATGGGTTCGAGCCCTGGTCTGGGAAAATCCCACATGCCGCGGAGCAACTAGGCCCATGTGCCAAAACTGCTGAGCTTATGCTCTAGAGCCTGTGAGCCACAACTGCTGAGCCCATGTGTCACAACTGCTGAGGCTTGCACACCTAGAGCCCATGCTCCGCAACAAG